GGGTTCTGCCCTTGTAACCTAATCATCTATCAAAGGCCCTACCTTCTAATTCCATCACATTAGGGATTAGGGATTAGAATTTCAGTATATAAATTTTGGGGAGACACAAATATTTATTAGCAAGGCCTACAAAAAAATTATATTTATTCTGTACCATATTATATTTCTATTAATGTGCAGTAATTCTTTATATTCAGTAATTTTTGTAATTTCAAAAGGTTTTAGTTTCTACCTCCAAATTAGAATCTGTTAAATAATCCAAGTTATTTAATCCAAAACCAAACTTTTGGTTTTTATTTAATCATTTTAACTTACCTTGTCTTTTAGTTAATATTCAGTGACTCCTTAAGATAAGATTATATCAAAGATTTTAAAATATACTAATGAAAGTTTATAAAAAACTATTCAATGTAATCGTTCAAATGTTTCTATGATTGCTACTTTTAAATATGTTTTTTATTGATTTTTAGAAAGAGAGAAAGGGAGAGAGAGATAGAAACGCTGATCAGCTGCCTCCTGCACGCCCCCTAGAGGGGATTGAGACAGAAACCTGGGCATGTCGTCTGACTGGGAATCCAACCAGCGACCTCTTGGTGCATGGGTCCACACTCAGCCACTGAACCACACCGAATGGGCCTATGATTGCTACTTTTAAAAGTGAAAGATTCTTTAATTAAATCTCATTGGGAACCTCTGCACATGAGGTGGAAAGTTAAAACCAAAAATACAAGTCTTTGAACTTGACTCTATTTTTTTAGTGGATCCATCAGCAGTGAAATATTTTCTTCAATATTCTTACATAAAAAGAAAATATTCTTACATAAGTAGCATTTTCTATGACAGGGTTTTGTAATATAGGTATTTTAAAATTAACTTTAGTTTTTTGTTTTTTTTTGTTTTTTAAGTATATCTTTATTGATTTCAGAGAGAGGAAAGGAGAGGGAGAGACAGAGATAGAAACATCAATGATGAGAGTCACTGATCGGCTAGCCCGCAACCCGGGCATGTGCCCTGACAGGGAATCGAACCCCGATCACCTGGATCCTAGGTCGATGCTCAACCGCTGGCCGGGCAACTTTAGTTTTTAAAATTTGAAAACTTTGGCCTCAAATTAGGAAAATATTTATTTTCTACTAGCTTTTATATTTTAGCATTCCTCTTAATGCTTTCTGATGATCATGTGATTGCTTACTCTCTTAATTTTCCCAGTATTAATTTCCTAATAAACTATGATATTTTTTACATTCTTTCCCTTTTATAGAGAGCAGTGTAATTAAATTTGTTTTTGAGTTTAATGCTCTATGTATTGTTTCACATTTTAATGATTATGGGTCATTTCTACAATAGTGTCATTTTATAAAAGGTGTTTATGAAAAATTATTTGGAAAATGCAATTACTCTCTAAAAATGACACCTTATATTTAATCTTATACTAACTTTGTAGGCACACAATTTTGCTCTCTCATCCCCACACAGGCATAGTTTTATAGTGAGAGGCTACATTCACATAGTAGAGGAAACAGCCCTCTGAACCTGCTGCCACATGTAGAAATTCTGTCAAATAATGGCCAAATCTCTAACTATTTCTGAATATCATATTAATTTTTTTCAATGTTTAGGTTGGTATCTGGCAAATCATACCATTGTCCAAGGAGAAGAAGAGCCTGCTAATCTCTGATGGGCTCAGCCTCAATCTAGGTTCCTAGTGAGATCTGTTGGGCCCATATCTACCTGGAGGTGGCCCTGATTGACATGGGGATTCATCAAGACTGAGTTTTTTGGTTCATGTTCACAGTGCCAGAGTAAAGCTTGAGCCTTGGAAATAAGCACCCCAAACTAGCTTTAAAACTTATTGCCCTCCAAATTTCTTTAAAAATTGCTCTCTAAAGAATTCTGCACTGCATTTCCCTTCTAAAAATATGAGTCCTTCAACCAAGCTCCTAATGACAGATGGGTTTCCTTTAAGCACAAGGTTTTGTTTAGCATGTATGCGCGTGTGTGTGTATGAGTTCTTTTTTTTTCTTTTTTTACATTAAACAGAAGCTAGTGCTGGTTTTCTTTAAACCATCCAGGGGAAAATAAAGAGTCATAGTTTCAGCTTTGAAAAAAACAGGTCAGTAATAAACAAATAAAACAACATACACAAATAAGTAAGAAAGTAAAAGAGTAGAAGTACCCAACAGGCAATGAGGTTTGTGAAAAGATTAATGGAAGTATTTTTGCTTTGAGTGCTCTAACTCTGACATTTCTCCCATTGTAAGGATTCTGAGTCCTTACCAAGGTCACACGTGTGCTGCCCAGGAGCTTGTGTCCAAGAAGTGAGGGAATCAGAACTTTTCTTCTTAGAATGTTAAGCTAATGAATTGGTGGATTCCTGGGGACATTTGCTTTTTTCTCCTTTCACGTCATACTTTTGTAACTATATATGAAATATATTAATACAAGCTGGACCTTTTATCTGTTTTAGAGCTATCATCCTCTAAAGACTCCCCCCCAGAGTTTCCTCAAATAATTTAACAGTAAACTCAAATCATCAGACATTAGTAGCTTAGTGGCATTTGTTTTACTGAAACATATATAGTTCCTAAGGACCTATGAAATCCATCTTATTTTCTATTTCTTGAAAGAACTTTAGGTAATATTAAAATCAAAGAACTTGGTTAATTAGAACCAACTTTTCTATACAAGTAATTCCTCCCATCCCAATGATTTTTATTCTTCCTGAATCAATATGTATTAGTAATATCAATATATATATACACACATATATATGTATAACTTACATATATGTAAATTCTCTAGGCTATCAACTCTTAATGAGGACTCTATGGGTTAGTCTTCAGATACTTTCTCTTCTCCATTTGAATTTCTTTTTAATTTAGAATAATTCTGAACCATATATTTTTCTTTTTTTTTTAAACATGTTTTTATTTTTTAATTTCTTTTAATTTTTATTGATTTCAGAGAGAGAAAAGGAGAGGGAGAGAGTAATAAAAACATCAATGATGAGAAAGAATCATTGCTGGCTGCCTCCTGCAAGCCCCCTACTGGGGATCGAGCCTGAAACCCAGGCATGTGCCCTGACCTGGAATGGAACCGTGACCTCCAGGTTTATGGGTCCATGCTCAACCATTGAGCCACCTTGGCCAAGCCCACATTATTTTCCTAAAGTAGATACATAAAAAGTGAAAACATTTAAAAATGGGCTGAAGTTATTAAAAGGGCAATTTGTAGAAATCTGTATATACAACATATCCTAGTGGTTGGGATGGTCATTAACCCTCCTCTTTTTTTCACAAAGCTTCATAGAATAATTTCAAACTTAGGCTCTACATAGTCTCCATGGAATTTAATGAAATAAAACATTTGGGCACATAAGGTAGTAATTACTTGTAAAAAATATATAAATTTATAAAATTGAAAAGCCATTAAAAAAATTTACACTATTAAATAAGGAACACTTTTATAGGCATCCCCAGCCTCTGAAGTCATGTCTAATTTTGACATCTTCTTTGGAGAAATGATACATCTAATTCCAGATTGGATAAATCAAAGACATTTATTCAAACCTTAAACTGTCCTGGAGGGAGTCAACCTGAGTTTTTTCCAGTGATATCTTGAATGACCATTGGAATTGTGAAGGTAACTGAGGAGTCTTTTGAACCATAAACATTTTCATATATGTTTTGAGAAGGCCTATGAATTTTAGTTGCTCCAGAATGTTTTTAATTATATTTTGTTTGAATGAGTAACATTAAAGACAGAAAGTCCAATTTGTAGTAAAAATTTAACTTCTTTTTTAACTTTGTTACTGAGATTTTCATGATCTTCATAAAATATGGTAAGAATTACAGTTGGACTAAGAAAAGAGCTAGAACAACTAATTTGTGTTTTGTTTTTTTTAATGCCAACAAGTTGATTAAAAAGAAAAGAAAGAGCATATCAACTTTATTATATTAGAGAAAAATCCAAGGATAATCTCATTATCAACTTTGTATGTATTTAAGCAAATTAATTTTAGGAATAATTGTATAGTTATTTCAGAAATACTGTATATTCAACATATATAAGTTACAGTGACATGGAAGTAAATATCTTTAAAGAACTTTTTAAGAACAACCTAATTTGGTGCTTGAAAGCAAAATTAGAAAGGAGATAGCAATAATGATAAATTGAAATATTTTTATAACTCTGCTCTTTAGAACATTAATTTTCCCTTTAAAACTTGGCACATAGTACTTTTTAATTTCCCTACTTGATCACTATATTACTCATAGATGTTTTTCAATTTCCAAAGTAAGAAAAGTGATTTTTAATTTATTTTTTATTTTTTCACCCTCACCTAAGAATATGTTTATTGATTTTTTTTTTTTTTTTT